CTACTACTACTACTACTACTACATATAGACACCAGCAGATATAAAACCTCACCGCTTCATGACTAGATCCTTCTGTTTGGTGATGTGACATCATCTCTATATAACTCACAAGTACATACTCTGCAAAAGTACCAATTACAAGTGTGTAGCAAACAATAAGGTACCAATCCACTGCCTTAACATACGACACCACAGGTAACGACCCCTGACCAAATCCGATCAACAGCGTAGTCATCGTAAGAACAGTCGTAATCCCGAGCGACACTCGAGCTGGGACAGACGTACGGTCGACGAAAAACGACAGCCATGACATCAGGACAATAAATATAGCTGGAATATACACGTGGTAAGATAGTGACCCAGGCGTCGAGTGAAGACGAATGTCACCCCAAGAAGTGAGTAATTACCCGCGAAAGAAAAAATATTTGTGATATGAAAAATTCTGGATATAATCAGCCGCCATTCCAGGCCGACACTCTGAAGAATCAGAGACCATATAACTATAACTAGAACTTGAACAATGCAAGAACAAAAAGATTCGCAGATTTCCAGTGGAACACAGTTGACTGTCTACTAATTGTTCACCAGTAGCCAAACATTTATTAGTTATGACTTAAAGTTTGACTTAGCCATACCAGGTGAATAGAATTTGATTTTCCGTTGAACGGTCACTGAGCTTAAGGCAAATTGAGCAATTTCTTGCTGTTTTGACTAAGTGACATTTTGATCTCTTTTCCAGTCATAGACGATATCTTCCGAGTCTGTAGTGAAAGAATCTAAGAAAACAAACAACAAAATGTTAGAAATCAAGCAGAGGATTAATCGAGAAGGTATAATTCATGATTAGTAAAAGTATGCTTAAAATTGTGCATAAAAAGTACGAAAACTACAAAATAAATTGAAGTTATAACAAATCATAGCACACTTTTCTGAGGCACAAGTCCCGCAACTGCTAGCTTACAGTTTGCATTCAACTGTAGGTTCTCTGCGTTCCTATCGCCATCATCGTAATCAGTTAATTCAAATTAATATGCCAGAGAGTATACATTTTTTGTACCAAGCGACACAGACCTCTCCTCTCTTAAACTTGCTTCTCACTTCCCAAGTTCACACGATCGCATGTTGGACAATAGAGCTACAACGCTTTGCGAGAATTTCTATCTTCATAAAAAGACCCATCGCCAAACGACATCATTAGGCAGCAATGAAAACTACACTTTCGTGACGACACTAGATCGTGATGACTT